CCCCAAAACCCCAAAACCCCAAAACCCCAAGTGGCTAATTTTAATTAGGATTATTGGATTGTGTTATTTAATCTACAAAAATTACAAATAAAATATAGGGTATGTATATATATATCGACAATAAACTTTAATTGAAATCATTGAGAATTTCCCGTTTAACTTTCTTGTTCTTTTTCCTCTTCCTAATCATTCTATACATATTTTTGACGCTTCTATATTATCTTGCTCTTTATATAATTCTACTTTTGTTCCTCTCTTTGATCTTATTCTTTATTTGCATATTCCTTATCAAATACTTGTCCATCCATCTTATTGTTTTTGCTACTCGGTTTTCTTATTCTTGTTATTTTAGGCTAAGGATAGTCAAACCTCTATTGGGCACTTGTAATAACATCATTAGTGATTTGAGAATCATCTTCAGCCTAATCGTAGTTTACTTGGTGGAAAGCTATATTCTTATTCGTGGCCCTATCCTATTAATTTAGCCTACTTCTTGTCTAGTTCTTGAATTCATTCATAGCTCGAATTATTTGCTACTATTAAGGATTATTTCTTTATTCATCTCTCGATTATGATTATGATCGACTCTCATCAAGGTTCTTTCTAGATCTCTTCTTTTTTGTTTTCTATTTTAATAATGCAGAATGATGACTCCTTGGCTCTTAGTTCTGCACATTTTGTATCAGAAAATTAGCTGGTCTTTCTCTCTCCGGAACTACTACTGCCTAATGTGGCAATCTTTATAATGGATCTAAAACTGGCTCTGGTAAAGCAATAATCTGTTCCCTTGAGTTTCTCCCATTATTCCTGGGGGATTGCTATCTTGAGGTATCCTCATTGATTATTTTCATTGAACTCTCATTGATTGATTAACTTTCAAACATCGAAATGTTAAACGCATTAAGAATCTGTTTCCTCTCCTCCGCAGGTAAATTTCTTAAATTCTTAGGATTTAATTCATACTACTTAAGATTTATCTTTTGAGAATCCTCTAGATTATTATAATCATCTTTGCTTTGCCCCTAAACCTCTAGTATAATAGAGTTAACATTATCCTCATCAATGAGATCTTTCCTGCAAAGCGGACAATTTTACTGTCTAATTGCCCAATCTTATAGGCATTTAAAGTGAAATACATGCCCTTCATTGCAGCTTAGCTCGATGATTTCTCCCTCAGCATTAAAAGGCTCCAAGCAGATGGCGCAACTCTACAATTCAACTTTTAGCGATTTAATTGCTTCCTGCTTCTTTTTGAAAAATACTATTTTCAAAAATTTCTTCATCTATTGCTTATTCAAACTCTTAAGAGTGGCTAATTACACTTCATCAGAAGGCCTATTATTTCTTATGCTATTAAAGTTTCTTGTAGGTCTTCCGTATTTTTTGTAATAAAGAATCACACAAGGCCAAAATAATATTCCAAAAGCGAGTAACAGGACGAGCTTGAAACAGCCTATGGTGATCTCAAACAAGGAGAGTAACCAATAGCTAATGCAGTGGAAGATCATATAAGAGATAAGAAGTCTCACACTTTCTTAATCAGGTACGGTTTCCTTTAGTTTTTGGATTTAGTTTGCAGTGAGCACTGATATTGTGATTGCCACTCCAATGTTCATTATCAATGTTATGTATTTGTATCGATATCTTATTCACCTTTATCGGCATTATCGGGCTGTGCTGCAGCAGAACAAAGTTGAAATAAACTTCTGCCTTAAGAAAAGTGTCTTGAAGATTCTGTAGGTTAGGAGTATGGACATGTAAATAAGGCAGCATGCGAGTATTCCAATTAGTGCTGTAGCTATTATATCTGTTTGATCTGCAAGTGCTATAATAGCTATCTAGAGATAGAAGGTAGCAAGTAATGATGAAAAAGCCAGTAGAGGGTCAAATACATCTAAAAATTGCTTGAATAGTAATTAATGATCATCACTTCGGTGTCTATCTCTTCTTTCCATAATAAAATATACTTTGTTGAATATCAATATATTTCAAAAAATATTTAATCTCATATTTTCTTACGTACATGGGGTTTTGGGGTTTTGGGG